TTGAGATAATGCTGAGAAATGAAAATTATTAACATTTACCTACCTTGTAGAATTCTCTTGAATTCTGAACAACCTTATGTATTTTCCCCAGTTTTTGTAAAACCACCACGAACAACACAAAATGTTCCTCCTTTGCGAAACATTCTCCTGTATAAAAGATATTTCACCTATTCACAAATTTTATTATATTCCAATAGTTACTGAAATAGAAGTTGTAAACAATAACAAAGGAACGTTGAGTGGAAAGTGAAAAGTGAGGTTGAAGTTAAAACCACCTGTAACTGCACATGCCTATAAAAACTAGGTTCTAGCGGGAGGCCTAATACGATGTTCAAGCCTATCATCATGAATGCTTCAGGCGTCTGGGGACAAGGGGCGAAATATAATATCTCCATTCTGGAGGTATTGCAAAACAAGTTAATGAGGATGATTGTGAATGCTCCTTGGTTCGTGGGAAATGAAGCCATCCGCAGAGATTTGCAGCTGCCTTCCATTCGGCAGTCCATTCAGTCGAGAAATCAGGGAGTTTTTGATGGTGCAGAAACTCATGAAAACCCATTAGTCAGGGAAGCTATGTCCTCCGTTGAAAGATGAACAATTTTTTCATCCAACCCACCCCAGCCAGGTAGGGGTACACCGTGAAGGGCGGTACTGATGTCTGAAGACATTCATGTCACCATCAGTTATGACCCGTTTGCTCTTCTGGTAAATATCAGTCCAAAGGGTAAGGGAGCCAGGCTCCAACCTGTTTGAAATCAAGACGACGTGCAGGGTGCCTAGCTTTNCAAGTTTTAGTTTCGAATATGATACATACATTCAAGAAATTGAAATAATAGACTCAAAGCCTAAAAAAACTGATACCGGAAATAACAACTTTAGATTATTCGTTGAGAAATTTAAGGGAGAATACTCATTTGTATTTACAGATGCATCCAAACAGAATAATGAAGTGGGAATAGGTATTAACATTCCTGGGATTGATTTTGCTTTTTCAGCTAGACTGAATGAGCATATTAGTAGATGTGACGCGAAAATTATACCAATATATGAAAACATCGGGGTATGTATGCAACAAAATGAACAATATATAATATTCACAGTTTCTAAAAGTGCAATAGACAGAATACAAAATGCGGATAACTCAATAAATTGCGATTACATTAAATATCAAAAACAGAAAAAGACTAGTCTTACGAAATGACATTACTTTTAAAATGACTTGAATACCCGGACATCAACAGATCGTAGGTACATCTCTCAATATTCCACTGGATATTAGGGTGGATAAAAAGAATGTTATCCCAAATTTAAAACAAACAATTAATTCAAAATTTCATACACAATGGAAAAATGAGATAAAAAACGAAGGGAAAATGTATTTTAGGGTTCAATCCGAATATTCTTCAAAACCATGGTATACGAAAATACCGAATATGGATCTAAGGCATATTACCAGTATCATCAGGATGAGAACAGGTCACTGTAGGTAAATATCATTTATTTAAAATTGGGAGTAGTAACAGCCCAAACTGTGAATGTGGACAACCAGAAACAATTAACCATATATTTTTAGAGTGCCCCATCAACACTATCCCTGGACAAGATCTTTATCAAAAAATAATTCAAAATGGAATCTCAGCTCCTTTGAACATAATTACAGTACTGAAAAACTTGAACTACAGCATTCACAAAGATTTGATTAGGTACCTATATGGTTTACAACCATATACAGGTATAAAGAAAAACGAGAATGTTGATTTTCCTAATATCTCAAATATTCCTAATCATATCCGTTAAAATCCCAGATACCTCTAAATCAAACATAAACCACTGTGAGCACGAACAATTACAGACCGTTATTAGTAAAAAAATGTATATTAACAACATAAAGTTTGCGTTAAGCAAGATATACTACGTCTCCTGTTATGCAATAGAAGGAGACTGGTCCACTGCGCCAAAAGGAAGCAAAGACCAAAACCGAGAAGAAGAAGAAGAAAGACAGGAAAGCATAAGTCAAAACAAATATAACCTTTAAATAATTGTTGATGTTTTGTTATCCTCATTATTGAAATATAGACGGATGATGACTTCAGTTCAAGATCGCTTGATGAAAAGAGACACTTTGGATAAGTGGTCCATAAGAGAGCAGCTATGTCTTGCTTCGGCAGTGTCTCGTTGTGGAGATCAAAATTGGGTGGCAGTGTCAAGAGCTCTGAAACCTTTCAGTGATCCGCAAAGGCCAGCAGATTGGTTTCATCAGAAAAACTGTGCATTACAGTATAGCATGCTACTTGGAAATGCAGATGTACCAAAACGAAAGAAAAGATCATCCGGCACAGATACTCCATTGGACATCTCACCTGAAAGTATTTTGAGAAGGTTGAGTGCAGAGAGGCAGACAGAACTGAAAAAAGTTCTTGCTGAAGAGAGGGCCGAGTATCGGAAATTACAAGAAGACATGGCAATACTTCAGTCGGGTAAAGTAAGTGAAGAACAACTAGACAAATGGTGTAAGGAAATTGAACAGGAAGAAAATCTGAAGGAGCAAGAATCTACAGCATACGCACAGTGGTTGAAAGAAAGAGAACAGCGTAAACAGGAAGTTGTATGGCGTTCTAACAAACCTGTTCCCATTGCTGGAATCAAGCATAAAAATTCAGATTCCCTTGATAGTCTTATTGAAACTGAACATGTCGATGAAGTACCTCAACAACATCAGCATCAGACTTATCCTCAAACACCCGAGGCTTCCAAACTTGCTCCATCACCTTTGCTTACTAGTTTGTTGAAGTCTCCATCACAAGTGCAAAATACTTCAATGTTACATACAGCAATAACAAACAGACATCCTACTCCAAGTACAAATACCAATCCAATGATAGCAAGTCTACTCAATTCATCCACTGGAGTGACGGTAATTGTTTCTTCTCTTTTGTTTTTGAGTGTAGTCAATTTATTTGCTTTCGAATACTTTCAATCTATGACATAAAAAATTACAAATTGAAAAGATTTACAGAATCTCACAATTTTTATCTTGCTTAAAGCTTGTGTTGTCTCCTAGAGTAAAATTCAGAAGAGGATGACCACAACAAATAGCCTTCATTGGTGATGCCTCAAATATTTTTGCTGTGTTCTCGACGACAGTGAATAAGTGAATCAGAAATGTTTTCCAAATTTTTTATTATATTACTGTGTAACTTTGTATATTTATATATATATTTTGGCTCGGTATGATATGACTTAGTTGTCGAGGCACTATATGACTTCTGAAATTTTTTTTATATAAATATTGACAAATTGCAATAAGAAGAAATAAGACAAATTGCATTGAAAGCTAAAACCTCTGACATAGAATAGATCTGAAACAAGCACTGCTCCCAAATACTAGAACTGCAATGCTCTACCTTCTATATGAGTAGATCTGGATCTACCATCCATATAACTGGATCAAGTATTTTCTCAGATTGACAAAAATTAAATTTATTTGTAAAAATTTTCACTATTGGTTTACACTGTTAAAGCTATGAAAAAGATAGATGGGAGCATATGGTTTTACTTCATCAAGTTTCAATGTTTTCAATCAACATGCCACGCTTATTTTTGTGATAGTATTAAAAAAATGTGTTCCAAGCTATTGATATTTTAACCCACAGTTTTTTAATATCATCTGTCAAATACAAACTGTAAACAAATGAAAAAACATAGAACCAAAATATTGAGAAGTGAATTTCAGATGTACTAGTTTGTTTTTGTACCATTGAGTTTGAATCTGATACCTTTGAGTTGATGTCATAAAATATAAAAACTACAGAAAACAGAATGTACAGAAATTTCAACAAGAAATCATTTTCAATAGTTTTCTAATCTAACTCTGTTGAATGGGTACTCAATGTCCCTTATGATTTTATTAATTATATTGTTAATTATTTGTTTTACCCCAGGTGTCACCTGGACTTCAGCAACTAGTCAGCACTGCAATAGGCCAGGAGGCAAATATTGAAGAAGAACAACAGCAACCAATAGGAAATGACATTCTAGATGATCCAAATATGCCGAATATAAAAATAGATGACTTGGCGAACAGTATATTAGTCCAAGATGGTCCACTTCCAGAAATAAAGAAAGAAGAGGTGGATGATATAATTTCAGAGATAATCGAAAATGCTCATGACATTGTTTCGGACCCTGAACAGCACCTTCAACTGGATGGAAATGGTGATATTAACATTAATCTTGGCCTTGAAGATTTTGATGAAGATGATGAAGAAATAATTCAAGAAGTTGTTGAGTCGAAAGAACATTCACAAGAAGTAACAAAAACAAAAGAAAAACTTTCAACCCCTGTAGTCGATCCATTTGAGTTTCAAGAGGATCCTGTCATTCACCTTGAGTCTTCTGTTAAAGTTTCTAATATGAATAAACAAGATTCTAAGCAGTATGTTCCTCACTATCAGCAGCAAACGCAGATGCATCAGCAGCAGGAACCCCAACAACAGCAGCAACTCCAACAACAGCATCAATCCCAGCAGCAGCAACTCCAACTGCACCAAGAGTCTCTTCCCCAAGTAGGAGCGGAAAAAATAAGTGAAGGTAATGAAGAAACAACGATAGAAGAAACCAAAAATGATGAGGTGAAGGACGAAATTCAAGAGGTTAAAGAAGAAAACTTGGACCAGGAACTCATAGAAAAACAAGAAGAATCAGAAGTTGTCAAAGTAGGTTCCTTGATTATGTTTTCTGATACTGAACAAATTTTTTCGTTGTTCACATATGATTTTGAAATAGGGTAGTGATTGAAAGCATACCACACAAAGCAGTTCTTATTGAATTCATGTCCACCATAAAACTATGGTTTAATGGTGGGCATGTGTGTGCGTTTAATGGTGGATATGCACATGTTTTATTTTTTCAAGAAACACTGAGATATTTCGTGAACTGCTGATTTTTGATCAGATCATTTGAAAAAAATTGAGTTTTGGCCCATTTTTGTATCTTCAGAAATAGTCATTGATTCCGAACACCTTATATAACATTTTGGAAATGTTATTTCTACAAGATCAGTGAATGAAGTATTATGATGAATCGATAATAGCTCATTTATGTATTCTATCAAACTTTTTGATTTTATGGGGGGTCACTCGAAAGCCGAATACTAAGTTTTTTAAGTAAACAAACGAATATCTTAACAGCAGTTCATTTTTGGTGTAGGGTGTATTACATAAACTCGCATTAGAATTATGTCAAGTATTGAAAAATGTGAAAATATACAGGAAGTTGGTGCCAACTTTCGGTTGTAGTTTATTTAACAAAATGACAATTTTGCTCAATTAGCTGTCGACTGAGGTCCTTCCGCCGTGTTACAAAATTGTCTTAAATTACATATATTCATTTTACAATATTTCACAATAATACATATATAAATATGGGAAAATAAAAGAAAACCATTGATGAGGGTGTGTTAGTTTTTCAAGAAGTGTTTCTGTTGGATGGCAATGTCGGATTCTTGTGTCATGGTTTCTCGTCACAGCATACTTTCTAATGATTTCTACATTGTTGATTTTTTCAGCAAATTTTTGAGTAAGTAGCGGTTGTCTTTTCTCAATAGGCATAATACCTGTTCATTGGTACAGCAGAGAATTTGGTAGGTTGTGTATGTTCTTGTTATTTTCCTGATAGTGTGTATGTTCTTGATATTTTTCTGATAGACATTGTTTCAGATACTTCAAATATATTTATTGTTATTCGTTTGATATTTAGAAACAGTGGATGCGCACATTCAATAAGTGAACGACAGATTAGTTTGTATATTAGGCTTGCTGTTTTTATGTTTGCCTCTGCTCCTGGGTTTATCAAACTTGTGAAGTGAATGGCTCTTGCTATTACTTTTTTTGTTACTGACATGCCTATTGAAATTTAGTCTGGAGTCAAACGAAACACCTAGGTAATTAACTGTTGATTTTGCATGCAAGATGTATTGATAAAAGTTGACTGTAGGAGAGGTTGCGGAATTCCAGTGGTTAAATTTGATGAACTGAGACTTGGATGGGTTTGGCAGGAGTCTACATTTATTGAACCAGTTATTCGTTGTTGTGGCAAGATGACCCAAATTGTTGATCACTCAGTCGAGAGTTTGAGCGTGGGCAATAACTTTTTTTTTCAGTTTATTCAATGCAATAGAATTTATGTTAGAGAATCTTGATGATACGCCTACTCAGACTGATCTTCAGAAGCATGAACTTCAGTTTTTAAGTTTATCACAGTAAACACTTTTCATCATCTTCGCACAAACTCTGTCAAAGATTGAATTGTAATTATGATTCGGCTGTCGTTGGTAAATTTGTCTGTCTAGAGAACATGAGAGCTGGATTCGAATCCTGGTTGGGTCACATCACATTTTTTCAATTCAGTATTTTTTTCAATGTCTACATACTGCAAACCTAATCTTTCGAATCCGTCATGTAGTTCTCTGAGAGGAATAAAATTTCAAAGAAATAAAACGTTTTGTATGATAAAAAAAATAGAAGTGGCACGGTAATAAAGGTCAGCACTATAGTGAAAACATTTGTGCATTACCAGAAGTGAGTTCCTGAAATAGTATTTTTTCAATTTTTAAGTGATTATAGCTCAGAAAGTAGACAGGAGCGCCACGTTTTAGACTTCAGATTTTGGATTTGTGGCTTTTTTGGCCCCTTTTTTGGTTTTAATCAATTGCGAGGCATGTGATGATATTTGAAAAATTTCTATATCGTAACAATGTGTTCAAGTACAGTTTTTAGTACAACTTCTCTTTCTATTGCTTGTTCCTACAGCTAATAGCTAAAGAGAACATACAATATAGGAATCAGGATATACAATGCATTGCCAGTTGGGTTTCAGCCGATTCAAAAACCTTTTGAAGAAAATGGCAGATAAATATTCATTATATGACAATGAATTTTTCAATACCGTTGAAGAAATAGAGACATTTTCCTGGTAACTTCCTAAACTTGTATATTGATCACCTAATAAGTATTTTTATTTCATTAACGATTTATAAAAATTTCAATCAATAATTTTGTTATATTTAATTTGCATTCTTCCTTTGAAGAAATATTCAAATATATTCTTGAAAATTGTACTGACGTGTCTAAATAAAAATGAAAATATATTATTTCAATTACAATATTCAAATAGTGAACCGAACTGGATGTGCCACTAATACTAAATGCTGCCTCAATTTCAGCATATTATTTTCACCATCTCTAAAGATTAGAATTTATTCAGATTTTCATTCAATAGTTTTTGTTTACTTTACACTCCTGAGCTAACGGTTTTTTCTTGTGGCTATTGTGGTGACAATAATTGGATCATTACCACATACTAGAAACCGCCCTAGAGCAATGTGATAGGTCTATATACTCCGGTGGAATTGTCATGTCATAATTCTGATGTTATTTGGTTATCGACTTTAGTAGATACTTGATCTAATAATTCATAACTCTTATATAAGGTAGCCAACAACCAGGTCGAAGTAAATTGTTCATGCATATGAACATGAAAGAATAACTTTCTCTCTTCAAACATTATATTTATAGCAAAGAACTCCGCTATAGCTTCTTCTAGTTTCATATTTTCTATTTCAGATGTTTCTGATGATTTGTATGTGTACAGTTCAGTCTCCCTGACATAATATGTTTGCCACAGTAGGCTAGTTATCTGGTAAATCTCTGAGGTAATTTTTTCTGGTCATAACTGTTTGTGTTCAGTTAAAACTGGTTGTAACTCTCTGAGCCCAGTTATAATTGATTATAACCAGTGGGGAATGTACAATGTTGGACCCAGAATGTGTCTATTTCCAAGTACTTGAATGAAATGAATAAAAAACAATTTTGTCTAAATACCACTGTTAGATTTTATTTATACGACCTGTTTCGGGTATAAAACTTGATAATGAGGTCAAACCCGAAACCGGTCGTATAAATAAAATCAGTGGTATTTAGACAAAAGTATTTTTTATTCATTTCATTTAAGTGATCATGAATTACCATAAAGTAAACAAGTCATCAATAACACATATTATTTCCAAGCAAGTAGTTTATAAAATTTTGTTCAAGATAATGGAAGAACCACCAACTGATACAATCAAAATGGAAGATACTGCAGTTCCTGGGTCTGTAGAAATAGTGGAAGTAGTTGGAACAGAGGAAGAGGAAATCGATAAAGAACTGAATAAATCTCAAATACAGGACATCGTACATTCTATCAAGTCCACTGATTCTGAAGAAGTCAAATCATCACCAACAGAAATATATGAAGAAAAAATTAAAACCGAAACAGAAGAAAGTAGTCCAATAGATAGTAAAGATACCGTGTCAATTACAACATGTGAAGAATCATCAGAAGCATCTGACCTAACAGCTGATAACAAGAAAGAGGTACCTTCGAATTTGGAGGGACAGGATGCGGCAGAAACAACAACACATACTCCTGACTTCACGGAAGGGCTATACGATGAAATGAATATGGAGGTAAAAATTGATAAGAGTGGCAAAGCAAAACGAGATTATTCCAGGACAAAGAAAAAAGAAGAAAAAGGTAATGTTTGTTTTGGTTCGGTATTTGTATGTTCTTCTTGCATGATTAATTGAATGTTGCAAAGAAAGTTTATGCTTTTTTGACGGAATATCGTATACGTGATATAGTCACAAATGGAGACAAGTACGGTAATATTGCGTTCTGAATAGTAAAAATGGGATACAAAAAAAATGCTTTCAGAAAACAATAGGTTGAGAAAAATGATAATGATAATGAATATACATTGAATTCAAACGAGAGGTACGGAACGATATTCTTGTAGAGCTTATTATCATTTTCTAAAACTTTTATGATTTTTAAATGGGTTTTCTTATTTGCTTTTTAGTATTCGCTGATAATATAGGGTTATACTGAAAAAAACTGAAAGTAAGTTGATGTTGGCAGCAATAAAATCATTACCTTTCATTTATTACACCAACCGATGTAGACATATAAAAACAGACCTACAGATTTATAAAACTGTCGAAAACTATGCTACATTGCAAATGATGACTGTAAAACTTTTATTTTTATGGATATAGTCTATAAAAAACTTTTAAAATTCAGAGTGTATCATCAATGATTTTACCATAAAAAAAGTGGTGTAGGTAGATAGATAGTTCTGAAGTGAGTGGGTCTGTTCGACTCTAAGCTGCAACCTGCAAGGTTTTATTATGGACCACACATATTGAAACTTGAACAAATCAATTCAACTTCTCAAATAAACCAATTACTCCATTTGGTGTGTAATTCATCAGGTCAGCTGGCAAGAGAACGGGACTTTGTCAAACGTTGAAAATCTAATAGAATCCGCGGCAGGACATGCCCAGAGAATTAGCTCAGCCGACCAGTCATGTATTTCCATGTGAAGAGTAATTAACCCTAAGGTTAACAGACCATGAAACATGGTCGGAATTTGAAGCTCTGGAATTATACCTGCGGAGCATCTTCGGGAATATTCTCTACAGCAACCATAATGGCATACGGAAGAAATTCCAGGTTGAAGGAGGTGCAAGTTTACCATCTCAGAGACCGCAAAAACCTCCCCATGTGAGTACGTCATTAAATCAGATACATCTGACGATATATTAGATTTAGAAATGCAGAATTGTTTCGCCTCTGGTTTGGGTGAATCATCATTTGAGCATAAACATTTGCTGACCTGCTCAGAGGAGAGTTTGTTTAATATTCTGATGCAGATACTGCTTTTGTTGCTCAAGTATTTGGTGCAAGGCAGATATCCTGCTGTTGAGGAGTTGATGAATCATTTTCTGGCTGCATCCCACCTAGCCTAGGTTTGTTATTTGGATCAAGAGTTGAAGAACTGAGAAACTCGTTACAGGGAAAGAGTCATTCAGATGAAACTAAAACAGGGCGCCACATTACCATGTCAAGGCTTTCTGGAACAATAATAGTGCGCCCGGCATCTCAAAGGTCCTCTTAGTGATACTGCGGGGGCTCTGAATCATACACCCTTTTATACAGATACACAAAGTCTTTAGGATAAGGCGTCATTTAAGAGTGCCACGAGTACCACCTCATCCAGCAGGGGTATTCTAACCCCCCACCCCTGCAGGCCAAAAAATGCAGTGTGTCTAATTCAGTTTCTTTAACCCATTTGTAATATAACGGGAAGTACATGATTGATGATCGACAAGTTTCATTAAAAACTATTTTCAATAGACAACAAATCAATCATAGTACAATTTGTATTTTACTGGACTAACTTCACTGACTGGACTGAGTGCACTAAGTAAAACCCAATAATAAGTATACCTACAATGACTGACAGATCACCTTTTCGGAGTGGGATATTATTAGCTTCAAATTATTTTTAGTATTCAAGATGGTGTAATATTTTTAAAATTGTTTTCTCTGAATACAAATACTCATGAGACTTTCATAATGAATCTAACTACATTTTCACACAGTTGCCCGAGTTCCCTAGTGTAGTGAAGTTTCTGGCATCTTGATTATATTTGACATTTCAGATTAACAATTTCTGTTTATGACAAGTATTACAAGAACAAACATTTTATATAAACAATATGTTATACTAGATCTTGTATAGAGTAGAACTCTACCTGTGCATTTTGAATGAAAATCACAACGGACACAAATATGATTGGGAAGACAAATTTCCAAATCATCAATATTTATAGTTGTCCTTGTTTCACTTAAAAGTGTCAGTATTTAAGCAAGCTTTGAATATTCATATAGACAATATTATTAAATCGAATATTAGGATGCTGTAGTTAGTTTTGAAGTATAATTGTTAACTATCATGGGTTTATTGTTCATGAATCTTAGTTTTTGAGTGATTGCCGTTCTCTATCATATTGTGTAACTTATTTTTAATTATATTTAATTTAATATACTCTTGAGATGTTTTCAATATATTAACAGCGTCTTCTTCAGACACACAACCATTAGCAACATATTTGTATTTCTTAAAGCATGCCTTCCTATAAATAACCTAATATTTCTACTATCATTGTCAAAGTTACTTAGTATTTCTTTAGTGGCATTAATATCCTCTTCTGCGCGGTATTGGAGGGTATTTGTTTGTGGCTTATGATGTTTCTTTTCCATTTCAACTTTCCAATTGCTCAGAAAATTTTCTTCATTATATTCTCTGAGTCTTGGTTTCTTCGTTAATATTCTCTGAGGCCTGGCTAGTAGCTAAGTTATTCATCATTTTATGTATGTTATCTTTCAACTCAATTATTTATTCATTTAATGTGGGAAATTTCCAAAATCCTGACAGACGAAGATTAGTTTTTTTTGTTTTTCAGGTTAAAGCTCTTAATCTCTGACTCCGTCATATTATCAAATTTTTCACCACTACACAGATATTTCACACAGGAGTTACATGGAAAAATCTGACCTGGGTAAAACTCTTCATTATATTTTGAACAATATCTTCTATTCATAATACTGGGAAATATTCAAACTTCAAGAAGTGAATGGCAACGTTGTTGATGTTATCAAAAGCAGTGGTAGACCTTTTTATTTATTCCGCTGTCAAAATTGATTTTTAAATCCAGCCTTCACTCACACACTTGCACAGGTTGAGAAGAACCTAAAGCAAATTGGTGAATTTATTATTCGTTTATATCTCATGAATATTTGTTAAAAATACGTTTGTTTAGTAACTAACGTACAAGGTGAATTTGAACAATAATGATTGAATATTCCTATAAAATAAGTAAATTTGGCTCTCTACAAAATACAACAAAATAATAGACTCTTCTAAATCAACAAAAATTGTTAATGATTTATTCTAATTCTGATTATGTTTTAGGTTTTGATATGTTACTGGCTATTGAAAAAGCACAGCTCGAAGACAGTGAGTTAACAGAAGGGACTATGATAGAAAATACAATGGATAATGATAAAAAAGATATCAAGCTGAAAGTAAAATCTGACAATGATAGATCTAACAGTCCTTGGACGGAAGAGGATGATAATGCATTACGCAGTAAACGGAGATATTCTACGCCTGCCACACCTAACGATTCTATCCCAAATTCTCCAGCATCCAGTTCTGCATTTTACTATGAAGATGACAAGGACTACCGTAACTGGAAAAAATCTGTTATGTTGGTTTACAATCGCTTAGCTACAAATAAATATGCATCGTTGTTTCTCAAACATATAACAGATGACCAAGCCCCAGGTGAGAGTCGAAAAAAAGTTTTAGCTTACTGAACATATTTTCAATGGAAAACAGTTTTTGTCAGAATTGTGCAATAGGGTATTTGAATTCTTAGTTGTGAATATAGAGGGTTTGCTCAAGTTATAAGCTGATTCTCATCTTCAATTCTATTTTGGTGACATATCTTTTGGATACAGATCAACAGTCATGACAAAATGTCAGTGGCGCGAAAAATCAAAAACTCAATTAATTGTGGCCTGCTGCTTCAACAATTCCAGCATTTCACTGTTTTTTTTATTTAACATGTTTTACACATTATTTCTATAACTCCAGTCAAGGAAACATACTATCCTAGTTTCATTTTTTAAATTTAATTTATTACTCTATTTAGAATTGGAACTTTTTTGCCAAGTAGTTATTTTGACACTTTACAACACTTCACGTCCAACTCATACCTAAAACATTAAGAATAAGTTGGAGAACCTTGAGTACTGTTTAAGAAGTGGTTCACTTGATAATTAAACACATTCATTATCACAAAAATATAACTTGTAATTGTCGTACATTAGCATACTATTGACTGATCTCTTGCAATTATTTCGCCAGCCAGCTTTCATATCTCATCGTAGCTCTTATTGTTCACTGTCTGTAATTGCAATGTTGTGAACTTGGATGATTGCATTTTTTGAATCCCTACTCAGTCCAACCTGATTGAAAATTTTTGGGCATTGATCATTTCTACAAATATCTTGAAAATTCGATAAGTAACTATTGTGACGCTAAATTTTGTATATATCAAAATTTCAATTCCCAATACAAAAAAAAACTGCAAGTCCAAAGAGTTTTCGAAGTACGAAATACCTTAATGGATCAATAGTTGTTGAACCATTCAAATTCGCGACATAATCCAAAAATGCAAAACATTTCAGAAGACTGAACCTTCCATTGTGCCGAAATGTTTCTAAGTATGTACATTCAATAAAGTATAAAAATTCTAATAATAATTGAAGTCAAAAAATATTTCTAAGTCTGAAGAATTCCCAAAGTGTAGAAATATTTCAAAGTACCCACAATTAGTCAAGTATCAAAACTGGGACAGAAAAATATTTCTAAGTCCGTAGAAATTTCAAGTGCCGAAATATTTCAAAGTATCCACAAATGCTAAAGTATCAATCCGAAAAATAATTCGATTTTGATAGGGGCTGGATTATTCTACCCTTGAAGGCGACAGGGAACTGGCATGGGCCGTCCCAGCTTCTATAACAGTGGGAGAGGCGGGATTCATATGAAAGTTCCTAATTATTAGGGTGCCACAGGGTTTACCCTACCATGCAGTGCCTTTTCATAACAATCCACTCGCGAAACCCAGAAATATTGGAGGTAGGTAAGCCCAGTGAAATCAAAATATTTACAAGCCACCGACACTGTTTATTTTCACCCTCACAGCACGAAAATCTTGCTTACATAAAGGTAGATGGTAACTATAGCAATGAGTAAGCAATCAGGAACATAATCCGGGAGAGGTTACGATGGTATGGCCATATCACGTTTACAGGATCTACCCCTTCTAAAACAAACATTAAATTGCGTGATCAGTGCGATACTTCAATAGAACAGTGTTCGACAGACCCCCAAATACCCTAGCCTATATATAGAAAAAATAAGTAAATAAACTATTGATATAGTTCAAGGAATGACTCTCCTTTAAATAGAACAATGACCCACTCAGTGTCGCAAAAATGTCAAAAAAAAACTACTCTGCCGGTGTGGTCATAGCTAATTCAGTTGAAAATAATAATTGAATACCAGAAGTAAACATCAGTAAGGTACTTGCGGAAAGAGGGGCGGTTGGTACCTCCTGTGGATACTATCTCTGCTTCACAGGACGGCTCCTGTGTTGAGGGCTGAAATGACTTTACTGTGCCACAAAGTCCATGTTTTGAGCCCTGCTCAAAACATTATGATACCCAACTTGATTAAGGTTCGTAAGGAAACCTATTTATAAAAAAGCAAAAAAAAATACGAGTTCTACAGTTTTTTTTTTCACTGATTGATACTTAGGAATATTCCCTGGTGATAAATCTGGTCATAGTCGTTTCCTAAATATTAAACAAATGGAATGTCTCGATGAAACAGACTATCACCCTGTACCTAATTTATGGATCACATGTGTGATAGGTGTCGATCAACTTAAAATAAAATATGAAAAATTTAGCTTTTTCATGTTAGTGGAAAAAACACGTATAAACTAGATATAGTTTTATATACAAAAAAGTATCATACCTTCGAGAAGGGCTGAATTTTTCTCTCTTCACGGCTTCGGCAACATTTAAATCCACCGAGGTAAATGAAATGGTGAATACGATTATCCAAGCTTTACAAATAAGTGATGATGGCGAAGTGATGATGATGAATACTCAATGGTGGAATATAGAATTACGTAATATGCAAAATGATCCCAGATAAGCTGGACGGGCAGTCACCTTAACCAACAACTGTCGTCACTGAAACTATATGACTCAAATGCCGACAACTCGCCCAAAATTATACAGGCGAAGTGAAATCCTAGAATCTAATTAGAGAAGGTATAATTTAAAATTAACCTCAACACTTCATCACCTGTTGCATAACAAAATCACGTTTCTCATCTAAGAGAAACAATCTTTTCAGTTTTCACTCTCGAAAGGTCCACTTCCAGTCCATTTTAAGATGGCGTGCGCGCCCACCACCTTATTAATTCAATCTGAGGAACTGCCCACCCAATCGAGATGTGACTAGATTACTCATTTATTTAGGAACTGCCCACCCAATCGAGATGTGACTAGATTACTCATCTATTTAGCAAAAACACTATGCTAGCAACGTAGCCCTTCATTCAGGCAGATACTAAAGGGTCATGAAGACAATCACAGATTGCAAGTATAAAATGGGTGATTGATCTTAATGCGAAAAATAAACTGAACTGAACTGAAAAACTATAAAGAACCCATCTATTTATTCATTTATCCACTGAGAAAATTTTCAGTTGCTGCTTTAAGATTGTCTTTGCCAATATTAAAGGATTTTACAAAGATAAAATCTTTTCTACATATTTTTATTTGGTCAGTCTCTTCTGGACAATGAACTACTTCCAATTGTGGCTCACTGTTATTGATATATTTATTATAACTATGTTTTCAAGAACATTATATTCACGATCATTCAAGGTCTTGAATTGATACTAATCTATTGAACTATTTCAGGAAAATAAGAAATTTTTCAATACAGCCCCAAAAATGCATAAAAATTATCATTGTTATTATAAAATGAAAACGTTTCCCCATTTCAAATATACTTCTTTTTTCATTACTTAAAATAATAGATTTGTTATCAGATTTGCATTATCGGTTTATTTGAAAAATTTTCAATAAAAGTGTATTGACACTTTTGTATTGTTTTTTTTAAAAGTAGTTTCCAACTCAATTCAGAATAAAAAATGCCATATTCTTCAAAGTAGTTTTTTTATTACAGGTTATAGTAGTACAGTTTACCGTCCAATGGATCTTCAGACCATCAAAAAAAATATTGAAAATGGTACTATACGGACAACTCTAGAGTTCAAACGAGACACAATGTTGATGTTCACGAATGCATTAATGTATAACAGAACAAATGAAACTATCTACAATATGGCATTACAAATGCAGCAGGAGTCACTGGAGCCAATACAAATTCTTATGTCAGCAGAAAGCCACAATGATGATACACCTCTTCGAAGAGAAACAAGGACCAGCGAGTCAGGTACTAAGAGGAAGCGCACTATAACAGACGAAACATTGTTGAAGACGAAGAAACGAAAAGAGGACTAGCAGGCTAGTGTAAATAACTAGACATTGTTTGAATATAGTGATTTCTTGCTTTGACTGAAAAAGAATGATTTTCAGTTGAGCAAACAACAAATGCTGGGTTAATGTATATGTATATATGTAGTATGTGTATGTGGTATGAAGAGTTTCCGACCTAACAAAGATACAAGACATTTTTTCAGATTTTTTTTATTTTTCAACATAGTCTCCTTTTAACTCTACAACCTTTGCCCAGCTCTGTAACCTGTCCAAATAGTACTTGAGACATTTTTCTCTGCAAAATAATTGTTCACGAAGGTGATTAATTGCCTCTTCATTTGACGAAAATATCTAACATGCTCCTGCAATGGTTTTTCCTTTTTAAAGATAATCGATTGAAATAACTCCATGATAATCCCAAATAGGCGCCAAAACTTGTATTTATTGCGCCTAAACTGCGCCAACAGAGCATTGAAAATGTTCATTTGAACATGTTTTTGGTTTATAGCGAATAAACACCTCACCCAATGCACAGACAGCTTTTTCATGCCTAAAAGTTGATTTAATATGTGACAAACACTTTCTTTTGACATGTTCATCTCTCTCACTTTAGTTCAGCGGTCTTCTAGCATCATTTGGTGAAGTTTGGCGAAGTTTTTGGATGTCCCGAACGTTTATCGTCTCCCAAGCTCTTACGGCAACGTTTAAATTCAACTGCCCAAAATTTCACTGTGGCAAATGATGGTGCAAAGTCCCTATACCCAGAATTCAACTCATTTTATTTACGTAGGCGTATTGCCTTTCAAGAACAAATATTTAATGATAGCTCGAAACTCGATTTTGTCCAATTTTATAAAAATTCCCATCCACTCACTCAAAACATTTACATAAGAACTGTGCATCTAAAATGGCTGAGGCTTTTGGTGACTAACTGTCACTAGCTTTTACTTACGAGTGCTACTATCTTCATGTTGAGGTCAGAAACGTTTCAGACCATTGGGTATATATCTATCATTCAAAGACTTTTCCTCATTTTGTTAATCACCAAATTGTTTATTTGAAAAAAATTGTAATTATCTATCAAGTTTTATGTATTTAATACATATGGAGGATATCAAGGAATAGCCATTTATCATTTACTCACCCTAGGTTGTTAATGGTAAACCTTACTCTTATGAGAAGCTGAGGGATAAACCTGCCGATTGTTTATTTACTGAAGAAATTTCTATCCAAATAGGAAAAGTTTATCAAAAACCTATAGGCGAGCCGAATACACCTGAACCTGAAACAGCGCTAGAATTAGTCTTGCCTTCCATTTCGATGGATCAAGAAAAAAGAGGAAACTTGAGCTGACCTCTACCAAATCCAAAATTCTCACTCTAAACATACTCTTCAAGTATGATTTTTTTTTAGTATCTGTTGAATGAAGATTCAAAACAAAAATGAATCAATTTGTCAGATCCTATGAATGTGAAACAATATCTGGGCGTTTAGTAGATGGTATCAGTGATTACAATAATACTTTTGGAAATGAGTGTGGTGGTGAATTTAGAATATTACACATGAATATTCAGAGCGTTACAAAAAAATCATGATCTATTTTCTATATTCTTGAATCAGGTCTCTGAAAAGTTTGAAGTTATTGAAACATTAGAAATAACCGATCTTAATCTTTATGAAATACCAGGTTATAACATTATATACAGGGTGTAACTGAATAAGTGTAAAACATTTAAGGAGGTTATTCCTCGTCGAAAAAAAGATAGGATCTTTCATATAAAAAACTTCATTGGAGCATCCCTTGTTAAGATACAGCCCCTTAAAGGGTGTACATAAAATTTGTATAACAATTTTCACAAGCACTGAAAAAGTAACAATATTGAAATTAACCTGACGTTTTGTACTATCAAAAAACACTTAGCCAGTAATTTTTTTGGGTTACCCCATGGTTGTAAGGGGTGGAAAACGCAACCCCTAAAATTTATTTCCAATGTAACTTTTTGTCTTATTTGTTCACCACTTAAAAATGTATTTCCGATAGCCTGTTTCATTCCAAACAAAAAATGTCTCTTGGGTTTTTTGCCCAAAATAAACCAGTTTGCAGCAAAAAATTATTTTACTAACAACTACAGAGATACATCGTCATAAATGCGAAAATACGAAACTAATCTATCTAGTAGGTCGCTATTAGTGATAGTGACAATTAAATTGGTATGACGCTGTCAGTTTGTGAATTTTCGAAATTGAATTAATACTAATTGTGTGTTGTT